TTTCGCCTATGGAATTCGAAAATTTGATCATATCTCGAATAAAATGAAAGAATCAGGTTGGTTGACTTTCAATAACTATCGCCTTTTGCATTTATTAACCCAAGTTCACAAAGTTTTACTCATACAGAAACCTGATTATTTAGTTAACAAATTAAAGACATTTTCCAATATTAATGAATTTCCTACGCGGAATCGAATGACCTTGGTGGTACCGAATCATAACACGACTCTATTTAAAAGATGGTTTTCGTATGTTGCATGTAAAGAGTACAATAAACTAACAAATGAATTTAAATCATATAACTTGCTTAATTTCAAGAAACGCCTAAAATAATCTTTGTTCAATAAGCAATGGTCATAAAAAAATATATTATATAATGCAACGAACTTGGTTTTGAAAATCTGTTTATTTTTTATACTTTTTTTTTCTCTATTATATTATACTATATTATTATATTTCAATGTTATTTACAGGTTAAGTTGTAAATCAGCACAAGCTGAACTTCACCTTTTCATCTACCTTATATATGTATATATTTACACTTATACTAAAACTTGATGAATAAAGACGCTTTATTATTATTATTTCTCCTTTTTTGAAGCCTGTTAAAAAAGGGATTAATAGAGGGAATAAGCCGAACGGGTAAGGATTGTTTTATGAAGATGATCACATTTTCTTTGAAATTACAAAGAAAACAACAAGTAGCAATATAAATCACAGTTTCCAGTTCTATCTGTATCCTAATTAATGAATAAAAGAAAAATTTCTGAAAACTGAGTCTTATTCATCAAGTGAAAATAGAAGTTACCAAGGTTTGAGCAAGCCAATTGCTGTGTACCCGAATTGAAGATAAATTTAAGATAAGTACCAGTTGATATAAAGATTTGATCAATTGAAAGTTCTGAAAAGACATGCCAATGTAATTTGACAAGTCATAAGTATTTAATAGGAAGACTAGGTATTTAAGTAATCTCAATATTACACAGTGGCGGATTGTAAATGTTAGTAGCAGATGTAGAAGATAACAAGTATTAGAAATTAAAAATTTAAAAAACCGACTTCAAAAACGTGCAGATGCCATCACATCATAGCCAAATTTATATGAGACCACCCCTGAGGTACCCCCTTACTAACAAAAAAAGGATTACATGAATCGGACAAGGTGGTAAATCATTATCGCTAAACATACAAAAAATGAAGAGTTTGAAGATTTTCTCATGAGCGCAATTATTAGATTTTGACCAAATTTATATGGGACCACCCCTAAAGTACCCCCTTTCTAACAAAAAAAAAAGAATTATTGAAATCGAATACCGTGTTAAAGAATTATTGCTAAACATACATAAAAAAAATATTGCGACGAATTGAGCACCTCCTTTTTTGAAGTCGGTTAAAAAAGTGAAAATTATATTACCATTTTAGAAATAGAGATTTTAAATTTGCAGTTAGAAGATTGCTATTTTAAATATTTCTTATTTCACAAAATTTTAATTATTAACATAATTGAAACACACCCTCAAGGAAATATCTTTCCTGGTGCTCGAGCTAGTATGGGACTGATCCATATCGAGTGACGCCCAACTTAAGGTTCCGAGATTGACAATAATACATTGCAGATTCATCACAGGTGCAGATTCAACACTGAGTACATCACATATCGCAAATTGATAGATCAGAGGATTGCAAATTTGGTTAGACCCTTTATTTGTAACATGTCTGCAATTGGTCTGTAGGTAAGGTGTTGGGTTAGGTTAGTGTTAAGGGTATCATCTGAATAAAAGCTTATATTTGAAAATTGTGACTATATGACATTTTGACAGTTCATGTAGTTGTGTGTAATGGACCTTAGAGATGGGAAGAAGTTAGGTGCAGGAGAGGATATTGAGTTTGAGAAAGAGACAATTGAGGAGGTAACAGGTGGTAAAGCACAGAGAAAGAAGATAAAGTGATGAGTATGTTGGCTATATTGATGAAGGAGATTAGGGAAAATTCAAGTAAAAAGATTAATATGTTAGTAGAAGAGGTTAGTAGTAAGGTAGGAGGTATTGGTAGAAGGTTACATGATAAAAATAAAACTGAGCTAAGGCAGGAGGTAGGATCGTTAAAACTTGAAATAGATAGGAAGTTGGAACAGAATAAGAAAAATATTAGGAAAGAGGTAATTGGTAGAATAGATCAGATAGAAAAGGTACAGGATGATAAAATCAGAATATTTGTAGGGATGGAGGTTAATGGTAATTTAGTAAAGGAAGCAGTAGATTTGGTTAGTAAAATATCGGTTAAGGGTATAGAAGATATGATTCAAGGGATAGAAAATACAGGTATAGTAAAAAGTGTAGGCGCTTTTCAAGGAAGAATGATAGAGAATAGGTTTGATGGGGATATATTCAAAATTCCCCTTAAAGTATTTGTGAAAATTATAAGAAATAGAGTAAGAAAACGTTTTATTATTTTTTTTAGTAGGGAGAGGGAATTTATTTTGTATGAGGATTTTGATGAGTTTTTTAGATTGTTATTGTTGTGCAATCAAACGTCAGTGAAAATTTAAATTTTGGAAAGTTTGATAATGGAAAAATATGAAATATAGTCAGTATGCTTTACAATTATTTAGTATTGTACAGTATTTGGATACTCCAATGAAAGAGGAGGAAATCATTCGTTATATTGCGAGACATTTCAAGTTTGAAACGGTTATTTTATAAAACATTAAGGAAATAAATATGTTAAATAAGTATTTGTTACGAATAGAACATAGTTTAGGTAATAATTTATGGGAAAGGAATTGGAATGGTGGACATGTTAAAAGACGGGTAGAATATAATGAGCTAGTGGGAAATCAGAAAAGATATAGACCTGGTCAAGGTTATTACAATAGGGTTTCCAGGAATAAAGGGTGAATCACAACGGAAGGAAATTTCTAAAGTTTCTTTTCCATTATGATTTGGAGTGCTAACTTAGATGTTATTGAAACTATGACTGGTTGTGGGAAATCAATTTATTCGTTGGCCAGCATAATCAAACAAGAAATTATTATAACCAATAATAAATCTAAACATGTTAATTAAATTATTTTAAAATTAAACTTTAAAAACGTATAAACTAAGTGAGAGTGTTAGGGCATCTAATTTGGGGCACATTTGTTGTCATCAATTGAAAGCAGAATCATTTTGGCAATTGGCCTGGTGTAAGAACCATATTTTCGGCTGCACGAACTTATTGTAAAAAACTTTGGAGACGCGAGCCAATGGCCATTTCAGCGGTGGTTTATATACAAATGTACTGTTAAGGATATTATTCATGGTGGATGACAGGAGGTTCGGTCATGGGTAAAGGCACGATTTTTATTTATTTATTTATTCTTACATTCAACGGTCAAGGCCTATTACAGAATGCGCACTTAACATTAATAAACATATATTTGTAAATAATACAATAAAAGCAAAACAAATTTTAAAGTAAAACTATAAATGAGATTGTATGAGTAATCTGAAAAAAACTCCAGTGGAGAAAAAAGGTTACTTCACACATATCGCATGCGAAACAACTAATATATAAAGATGAAATTAGATACAAAAACATAAAAAACTTAATTACACTAAATATTTTAATTAGGAATATATGGATATAAATCAGGAATAAAGTTTTTTAATCTTTGAGATGGTAGTACAAAATAGATCAATTTCTTTACTCGAGTCATTAATCGTGGACAGCATATGGTATAATGGAGACTGACATAATAAGTTTGTTCTGGGGGTGGGAAGAATGAATGTGCAGCTGTACCTGGAATTAATTCTTGGAACTAGGAAGTTAAGCTGAGCACATAAAGCCGGGAATTTAATTAAATGGTGTACTATCTTGACAATAGGGCATACATATACACCAGAAGCAGTGCGGACTTGTACAGATAGGACTTTCCCATCTTTACCAGGAATCACGTCAACGATCCGTGCTAATGGCCACTTAATGGAGGGAGTATTATCTTCTTTGAGGAGTACCATCTCGTCGATTTGAAGATCTCTACGAGGGATAATCCACTTAGGACGGTTTTGGAGTTGGTTGAGATAGTCTACCGCTTCCAAAAATTCTGTTGCACATAGGTGCATTGCTGCGAAAACTTTAGCCTGTTAACGATTGTCAGAGAAATATCTTTGTCAGGCAGTAAAAATGTTCTGGGGTGAGAGGATTCAAATCATTGGGATCTGAAGATGAGAGGGGAAACAATGGTCTTGAGTTCAGTATGGCCTCAATCCGGGACAGAACAGTGTACAACTGTTCGAAGGTAAAGGTGAAGTTATTAAGCACTTTAAGTAAGTGATACTTTACACTTTTAATGCCAGCTTCCCAAAGACCGCCCCAATGGGGGGACGGAGGGATAAACTTCCAATCAATGGAAGAAGTGAGTAAATAATCATATACAGGAGAAAATTTTTGTATAAGAAACTGTGATAACTCTTTTAGCTGCTTATTAGCACCTACGAAATTAGTTGTGTTATCACTGTATACAGTATGTCCCCCTAGGTTGGAATCATATGGAAAACTTTTTTTTCATTAATTTTAGGAAAAAAAGTTATTCTTTATAAAAAGTTCTGCATTATCTAAAACCTAGAATACAGTCATCAAATATTAAATTTTTTCAGTGGTATACGAGGTTTGTCAAAAAATATGAGTTTTACTCAAGTGTAAAGTACCTTTACTCTTTATACGACTGATGAAATTTGATATTTGGAGGTTGTATTTTAGGTTTTAGACCATGCTCGACTTTTTATAAAGAACAACTTTTTTTCCTAAAATTAGTAAAAAAGTTTTTTATATGATTCCAACTTAGGGGGACATACTGTATATCTAATCTTATGACCGGGAGCATGGGACCCAGAAAAGCATACCCTCCTTTAAGCATAAAATTTAGGTCAGCTTAATATGAAATTCGCTTTTTCCATAATAGTAAAATATTTCGTTTTTTAAAAATAATATAAATATATTGTAAAAAAAGAAAACATACCTGCAGTCCACTTTTATCGGCTAAGATTTCCAAAAAATTCAACCTCTCACTTGTAGGTTCTAAGCTAAATGCTGTCAAGACGCATTCTCTTGCAACTTTGATTTTCTGATTCATATATTCAGCCAAGCCACAGAAAATTTCAGCTAATGTTGACGTTACTGATTTAATATTTTCAACGTCCTGTTTATTTTTTAGTAACTCCAATTCGTTCATGTAAACAGTTAGAGTTTTAATAAATATTTCGACAATACAATATTTTAGTTTTGGATTTTTAACATTTTTAAAATATTCGCAAAAACTATGAAGGGTGGACAAGTTAGATATTTCACATAGTTGTTTTATTTTTGTACTCAAATGGTCTAAAGAATCAGTAACGGTGCTTAGAGCAATGTACATTTCTAATAACTCATTAAAAAAATTTAAATTTGTTTTGTGTTCAGTTACAATTTTTTCTAAAAATGAATGTATAGCCATCATGGCAATTTTGGGAGAATATTTCCAGATTTTCATTAAATTAGGTTTTTTATTAATGAACCTTTTTATTAAATAAATTCCATCCTCATAATTCATTTCTCTTAAAATATCTTCTATTTTTATTTTCTCCTTAAATTTATACAGAAGACTAATTTTTACATCAAAAATAAACCATATTTGTTCTACACTGATTCTAATGATATTATTCGATTCAACATACTTCAAAAAAGCCGTTGCTAGATTTAATGCCAGATCTTCACAATTACAGTCACAAAGTTTCATTAATCTCACTGAAATAACATATGCTTGTTCGTAATTAAAAAAATCTATATCTTCATTAGTAAGCTCAATGCTGGACACTTTCATTAATTTTTCTAAAGTTGAGTTGTTCCATGTATTGACAACCAAATGTATCAATTTTTCAAAACGTTCTCTGAAAGTTGCATTAACTTGTTTCAGCTGTTCATTAGCCTTATCTATGGTAAATATCATTTCGTTTCTAAATACGTCAATGTATAATTGCCATTCGGCAGTCAATATTATATTCATGTTATGCAATATAGCCCAATCTACCAAGTGGACGATATTCTTAAGTTTAGTTGAACAAAAATTATACTCACTAATTTTATTCCATAGTTCTAATAAAACTATGATTTTTTCTGCTAATAAAAGGCTTTTGTTGTTTAATATGTAGTCGTATTTCTTAAAACTAGTATAGACGTCCATATTAAACTATCAGTTTGACTCAATTGATCAGAATTGTCAATGTTTGACATACAATATGTTAAGCAGGGCCGTTGCAACCTCCGAGCAATTACTACTACAACCTTATCTGACTAGGTAATAAAGAGAGGTCGCGTAACAAGTATATCGAGCACACGTAGTATTCTGTGCCGATTATCTATTGGCCGCCATTATTTTGGTGCTAATCATTTCGGTGACACCAAAGTT